AACTGAGTCGAGCCTCGACTTACAACCACAATTGAGCCCCCCATTTTATTTATTTATTTATTTTTGCTAAGTGAGACAGCTGTTAAGTGAGTTTGCAACCTTTCTTTCTTTCCACCGTGAAGTAAATCACAGCAGTTATTTATTTATTTATTTTTAATTTGATTTATATGCCGCCCTTCTCCGGAGACTCAGGGCGGCTTACAATGCGTTAAGCAATAGCCTTCATACTTTTGTATATTTATACAAAGTCAGCTTATTGCCCCCACAAACTGGGTCCTCATTTCACCTACCTTAGAAAGGATGGAAAGCTGAGTCAACCTTGAGCCTGGCGAGATTCGAACCTGCAGTAATTGCAGGCAGCTGTGTTAATAACAGGGTGCTTTAAACCACTGTACTACCAAGGCTCTATTTAAGTTAGTCACATGGTTGTTGAGTGAATCTGGCTTCCCCACTGACGTTGCTGGTCGGAAGGTCGCAAAACGAGGATCACAGGAAACCCTCCCGCCCCCGGGACACTGCAACCGTCATAAATATGAGCCGGTTACCAAGTGTCTAAATTTTGATCATCGTGAGGATGCTGCAGTGGTCGTAAGAGTGAAAAACAGGTCATAAGTCACTTTCTTCAGTGACATTCTAACTCTGGTCACTAAATGGAACTGTGGTAAGTCAAGGATTACTTTTAAATGGTGTTGGATATTTGATATACGCGTCGTGGCCACTGCTACGGGAGCTGCATTGGCTGCCAGTGTGTTTCCAGGTGTGATTCAAAATCCTGATTGTCACCTTCAAAGCCCTTTCCTGGCTTGGGGCTGGGTTACCTAAGGCAGGCCCCCCCCCCAAACTTTTGGCCACTAGGGTCCGATTCCGTGGAGAGTCTGTGGTCCAGAGGGCAGAACGAGAAACCATGGATGGAAACTCATCAAGGAGAGAAACAACCTGGAATGAAGGAGAAACTTCCTAACAGGGAGGATTATTAACCAGTGGAACAGCTTGCCACCAGAAGTTGTGGGTGCTGCATCCCTGGAGGCTTTTTAAGAAGAGTATGGCTAGTCTAGAGAAAAGAAGGATTAGGGGTGACATGTCAGCAGGATTCCAGTATTTGAGGGGCTGCCACAAAGAAGAGGAGGTCAAACTATTCTCCATAGCATCAGAGGACAGGACGAGAAACAACGGATAGAAATGAACCAAGGAGAAAAGCAACCTGGAATTGAGAAACTTCTTAACAGGGAGGACAATTAACCAGTGGGACAGCTTGCCACCAGAAATTGTGGGTGCTTCATCACTGGAGGTTTTTAAGAAGAGGCTAAACCAGTGATGGCTAACCTTTTTGCCGTCATGTGCCAAAAGAGGGGGGAGCATGGAGGGGTCGCGCACGTGTGTGCCCATACCCATAATGCAATGCACCCCACCCCCACACATGTGACCCCTCCGCACTCTCCCCAGTTTTGGCATGTAATGGCCCAGTGGGCTCGGTAGACCCATTTTTTTGCCCTCCCCAGGCACCAGAGGCTTTCTTGGAGCCTGGGGAAGATGAAAACGGCCTTCCCCACGCCCCCGGAGGCCGGAAACAGCCTATTTCCCAACTTCCGGTGGGCCCGGAAGGCCTGAAAATCAGCTGGCTGGCACGTGCATGCATACTGAAGCTGAGCTAGGGCAAAACCTGCGTGCCCACTGATATGGCTCCGTGTGCCACCTGTGGCACGCGTGCTATAGGTACGCCATCACGGGACTAGACAGTCACTTGTCTGAAATGGTGTAGGGTCTCCTGCTTGAGCAGAGGGCTGGACTAGAAGACCTCCAAGGGCCTTTCTGGCTCTACTCTGAGGCATGTGGGTCGCGTCGCTTGCTCTTTTCGGCTGCGAAAGAAGCAGCCTGGTGGCCAGGTGAGGCGAGAGGGGGGTGGGAAATTAAGACACCCCCTCGAAAAAAAAGCCTAGCTGATTTTTGGGGGGTCAAAAGCCAGGAGCCTGAGTGGCGTAGGAGGCTAATGCCTCCTACTAAGGCAGCATTTAACATCCAGCTGCCTGCAATTACAGCGAGTTCAATTCTCACCAGGCTCAAGGTCGACTCAGCCTTCCATCCTTTCTAAGGTGGGTAAAATGAGGACCCGGTTTGTGGGGGCAATAAGCTGACTTTGTATAAAATATACAAAAGTATGAAGGCTATTGCTTAACGCATTGTAAGCCGCCCTGAGTCTACGGAGAAGGGTGGCATATAAAAATAAATAAATAAATAAAAAATAAAATAAAACCCGGTCGTATTTTCGAAGAAACACGGTATTAGCGTCCATAGCTGCAGTTCCGTTCTGTGACCATATATATATTTCGCTTGTATGGTTTAAATTATTTTTAATTTGGTTTGAAGTTTGATGACGTACGTTAATCCAGAGTCACTTCTTGAGAGGGGCAGCAGCTGTAGAAAGCCAAGGAATTAAAACACACGGGGAGAAATATAAAATTTAACATTCCCTCTTTGCCCCATCAAGCGGCTTACCGAAGCTTCAGAATCAAGGCAATGCCATTCCCGTCGAAGAGAAATATTTTTCCCCAAGGACCTTGCTGACTTTTCAAGGCTGGCCAGAGCTGGCAAAGGGCAACGAACCCAACGGCAACCGGACCAGAGTTGAATCAAAAGCCGTTGCCGTGTATTTATTAACGCGGCGTTGCCGAAAACAACATTCAGGCCCACGGAACCATCCGTGTGTCTCCTAACTCCGGCTGATCCTTTTAATGCTAAACCCTGTTCTCTTTAATTAAAAAGGTTACCCCAGGAGACGGTGTGCCGATCAGCAGATGCCACCGAGCCCAAAAAAAAAAGAAGAAGAGAGAACCAATTTGCCATCCTTAGCAGCTCCTCTAATCCCCACTAATTCAGTTACCAATCTGGAGGGCCATAAGAGGATTGGGGGCATTTGCTAAATTAGATAAGTAAAAATAACAAATGTCACTCAGTTGGAAGGGATGTGGGGGCCGGTGAATCTGGAGGGCAGGAACTGTTTCTCGAAGGTGAGGGCATCGGGGGTGGAGGGGGCTCCCCAAAGTGAAAGAAAACAGCCTATCAGCACTTCAAGCTGCATTTACTCTAGTGCTGACATAAGAAGGAGAAGCGGAGGCGTCTGGAAAGGGACGTTTGACTTTTCACCTACTTATTTTCCCTGGAGATAATATCCCCTAGGAGATGGGATGGGAGGGGGGAAATTCCTTTGAGCTGGAGCAGTAGATTAGGGGTAGAGTGACTTGGAAGATGGCCAATGAGTGCAGAGGAGTGGGGAAAGGAAAGGGAGGGTTTTGGGTCAGGAAGTCAGTGTTGGCTACGATGGAGTCGGAGTTAGAATGTCGTGCTTAATAAATGGGAGTTTTTCATCGAAGACTTTGTCTGTGAAATGCAATTTATTTGAGACGACCTCGAAACCTGACACAGCCCCAGTTTTAAACCCCTCTTGAGAGAAACTGAGTCAGTTGCTTCTTCGTTTTTGTTTTTAGCGGAATGCACGTTGCTTGGAGTTAAGGGTCACCTCCAGTGGAATTGAAACGTGGGTCTGGAACAGGGGAAGCCATAAGGAGTGGTTAAAATGACAAAGCCACGTTTGCACAGGTTCCTTCTTCGTTTTGAGGTGGGGGGGGCTTTGCCTTCCAACAGAAGCTCCCGGTTTGGAAAGAACCTGAAGAGAAGACTTAAGAATGAATTAGGAAGACAGCTTTCTCTGGGATCCTGAAAGAAATTTGCAAGGTCAACTCGCTTCTCCATCACTCCCGGAGAGAGCAAGGGTGTCCAAACTTGGAAACTTTTAAGACTTGTGGCCATGCAGGGCTGGCCGCATGAGGAATTCTGGGAGTCGGATGTCCACAAGTCTTAAAAGTGGCCAGGTCTGGACACCCCTGCTCCAGAGCACAGGATTATAGAAGGGTGATGACCAAGATCTAAATCGCCAGCATCTGGACAGTTAGGAAAGTCTTGGGTATCATGATGTCATGATCTACTTTTGGGTTGATTGGATGGATGGATGGATGGGTGGGTGGGTGAGTGGATGATTGGATAGATGGATGGATGGATGGGTGGGTGGGTGGGTGGATGGATGGGTGAGTGGATGATTGGATGGATGGATGGATGGATGGATGGGTGGGTGGGTGAGTGGATGATTGGATGGATGGATGGATGGATGGATGGGGTGGATGGATGGATGGATGGGTGGGTGAGTGGATGATTGGATGGATGGATGGATGGATGGATGGATGGGTGGATGGATGGATGGATGGGTGGGTGAGTGGATGATTGGATGGATGGATGGGTGGGTGAGTGGATGATTGAATGGATGGATGGATGGATGGATGGATGGATGGATGGGTGGGTGGGTGGGTGGTGGGTGAGTGGATGATTGGATGGATGGATGGATGGATGGATGGATGGGTGGGTGGGTGGGTGAGTGGATGATTGGATGGATGGATGGATGGATGGATGGTGGGTGGGTGGGTGGGTGAGTGGATGATTGGATGGATGGATGGATGGATGGTGGGTGAGTGGGTGAGTGGATGATTGGATGGATGGATGGGGAATTCTGGGAGTTGAAGTCCACCCATCTTCAAGCTTCCAAGGTTGAGAAACACTGCTCTAGGGCTGAAGCAAGGCAGTTGTTAAGGTCAGAAGCCAGCTGGGAAAGTCGCAAACCACAATCGCACAACACTGGGAGGCGGCAACCGTCATAAATACACACCAGTTGCCAAGCAAGCAAATTGCGACCATGTGACTGTGAGGAACTTGCGACAGTTGTAACTGCGAGGATCGGTTGTAAGTCCCTTTTTTTCCAGCACCATTGTAATTTTGAATAGTCACTAAACAAATGGTCGTAAATTGGAAACACCCGTCCCGTTATTTGGTCATTTGCAGAACCAATTGTTTTGACCAGGAGTTAAAACGACAACACACCACTTCCATGTAAAAACCATCCTTGCTTGTAATAAATTTCAACATATGAGGTTTTTTTAAAAAACATTTTAATATTTTTTGCTTTTTTTTTTTTTTAATCCACCAACAATTCGATGTAACTGCACAGGAAACAGCTTGCCACAGACTAAGACAATAATAAATAGAGATCCATTCACAAAAATAATAATTTGCATGAAATGTTTCTCGGCTACAGCAAAAGGACAAGTTGTTTCTTTTGTTAAAAAAGTGACTAAGATAACTAGACTAAAAAAAAATAATAATAATCTAATACCAAGCATTTATTTTAAATTTGAAAAGTCCAGTTCTTAAATGCATTGGAAAGAAGTAAAAATAATATTATATATATATATTAAACACTTATCACTATTTTTTACCTGTACAGTTTAATAAAATACAGCTTTTGATAAATGAAGCCATAGAAAATGTTAGATTTCTGCATTTATTTATTTCCAGCCTGCTTGTCACCTCTTTAATCCAATGTTTAAAAAAATGACTAGCAAAAGAGGTTTCATTGCCATTTAAAATTCTAAAGGATTAATGTAGTGACCATAAAATACAAAAACCTTCCCTCCAGTTTAGGCGTGAATGGAAAATGATCGCTGGGACTGTTGTATAAAATGTGGATTCCTATTTTAATCAGCACTGGATTCAGAATGGATTGTGCACAATTAGCAAAACATTTTGCCTGCAGATGAAAGCAACAGTTAAAAAAGATGGTTTGACAAGTTGACAATTTGCTATCCCTTTTTTTTTTAAAGGGTGCATGTTGCTTATTCTACATTTTTAAAAAAATTCTGTTGGAATTCTTGATTAGGTTTATTATTATTATTATTATTTTTTACAAAATTTGGACAGGGGAGAAATGTCATCAAAGTGTTTCCTAGTTAAAAAAACTTTTCGATGATGACAATTATACCTCCTTCCTTCCACTAACTTTTTTTTTTAAGGGTGCCCATGCTGTCCTATTTTATAATTTTTTCAAAATTCAGTTAGAACTTCTATTATGTTTTTTTTTTTAATCAAAAATTGGGAAGGGGGAAAAAAAATCATCAAAGCGTTTCCTTCTTAAAAAGACATTTTCACAATTACTCTCCTTCCACCAACCTTTTTTCCGGGGGCACCCATGCTGTCCTTTAATTTTTTTTTTTACAAAATGGATAGAACATTTATTAATTTTTATTTTTATTTTACAAAAAGGTGGGGGGGAAGAATCAATGAGTTCCCTAAGTGAACGTCCAATGTTGCGGTTTTCATAAAAAGCGGAGCGATTCTGCATTGGTTCTCTTGCACGATTCAAATCGAATGCTTCGAATCAAACCACATCATTTTACTTCTCTCCTCCCCACCCTCCGAAGGCTTTAAAAATTCCCATTAATCTCTGCAAATGCAGGGACAAAACAAGTTTAAAAGCTGGCCTTCTATTTTTCACTGGGTCCTATTTTGCACTGGGTGGGGTGGGGGGAAAAATACCCTGGAAGATCAGCAATTTCTTCATGCACCATCTGATATCTTATCCAGATGGATGATTTTTACGGTTGTGTCTATCTACATACCTTGGGTCAGCTCTTCTGTTTTAGTCTCTCCAACTAAGGGTTGGGGGGGGGGGCAGTTGGGAAGATAGGAAAGCCACAAAGGGATTTGCTGGAATATTCTTAACAGATTTCTGAGAATGAATTAGGTAGATGGATTGATCCTGCGGTGGATTTCGCTCCTCTGCAAATTTGAGATGGTTGATTAAAAGGTAATTTTAATTCCCCTGGCCCAAGGTTAAGCCTCTTAGCTTCTCGGTGTAGTTGCTTGCACAAAGAAGAAACCAGCTAAGAGAAGAAGGCTAGGAGGACCTCATTGTGGAGCAAAGCACTCTCAGATGGACTTGAAGGAGGAGACTAAGGTGTATACTCTTACAGTGGTTACGACGGATGTAGCCCTGACTTTCGGACCAGACTCTGTTCCTGGAGGATCTGAGTGCAGACCCTTAAGAGACTTCTCCATAGCTTGAGACTCCATCTTTCATGGGTGGGCTTTCTCCCCTCCTGTTGGAACGAGCCTCATGGGTTGAGGAGACACGTGGACCAGGATTTTTGGAGGATAAACTAAGCAGGAACTCACAACTGGCTCTTGTGTAACGCTCTATGATGTGCTAATAAAAACTATCCCTCCCAAAGAACTGAAGAAAATGCCAAAAGGAGCCTGGTCAACTCAAAAGCCCCCTGAAGCTATCTCAACTCAGAAACTCAGGTGAGGACAAAGAGATGGAGTTGGACCTCTGGTCCAAACAACACTACTGAACCGTTGACTCCTGCAAAATGGATGTCTTCCTGTTGGGTGCTGGCTGCCATGATAGGTCTGTTGGGACACCGGTTGATACCTGGGTTGCTCATCCTCGCAGTGGTGAATCAGGAGGTTCAGAAGAAACAGAATCCTCTGGAGACTAAATTCTGGAAAGTCCTGTGGGCTGGTCTTCACCATGGCTGTTGACCTTCCAATGAGTGGAGTTGAGTCCTGCTGGAAGGAAGCGAGAAGGCCCTCCCCAGTCTGGGCTTCAGCCCTTCCAAGAAGTCCAATCATCAGTTCAGGTGAACTGGGGTGCTGAAGGGTGAAGAGCCCCAAGGCCTGATGGAAAGCAGTTTTGTGTCCCCAAGCCCTGGGCTCCTAACTTCTCCAATTTGACCTCTCAAAAGCTGTTGGCTTCCCCAAGCGGTAGAAAAAAGCAAGCTATGGCAGATGTTTAGATAGGCAGGACCGGGGAAGGGAAAAGGAAAAGACGAGAAGATCGAGCAAAGAGGCAGAATATCTCACAGTCCAAGAGTGGAGAGGAAAAATGGTTGATCCACCAAGACAAGATCGAGGAAAACGAGAGCTTCCTCCGAGGTGGGTCCCCAGGCCCGCCATTCACAAGACTTGGAACTTCCAAGAACTTTGATCTTTGTAATCCAAGCAATCGGCGGCATTGAAGTTGAGCTTCCAGGAGGCGGTGGGGTCCTTGTAGTCCAGGCAATCCACCGAGCTGAAGCCCATGCCTGCGCCGCTGTAGCCCTGGCTGGAGAGGGTAGCCGGGGACTGACTCAGGTGGCTGCCCATGGTTGGGGTGGCCAGGGGGCTCAGCGCTGCGCCAGGTGCGGAGAGCTGGGGGTGCATGGGAGACAGGTAGGAGCTGCAGTCAAGGCTACTGAAGTAGGAAGTTGAGCCAGCGTAGGTCTGGGTGTAACCCGGCGCCTGGGTGTAGGTCATGGGGAAGGCAGCCGACCTCTGCATGCAGGGAGTGGTGGAGGAGGCCAGCGGGTCTGGGAGCGGCGAGATGGAAGCCGGGCTCCAGATGGAGACAGTGGCGCTGGCGCTCGAGCTGGGTGCCACCGAGGTGCCGGTGGGCAGAGGGCTGTACTGCCCATTGGCGCTGGTTTCGGAACTGGTCTCAGGGGCTGGAGAGCTTTTCTTCTTAGCCGGCCGGGCTTTGGCCTGTCCGCTGCTCTGTTGTTGCTGCTGGCGACATTTGGCCCGGCGGTTTTTGAACCACACCTGGAAGAAAGGAGAGCAAGGTGTGCAAGGCAGAGGAGGACTCCGGCGGAACTGAACAGAAGGGTCGCGTTTCCCTCTGGGCGGAGGAGGCATTTAAATGCAACACAGGGAGATTGAAGTCTGGAACTGTCGTTTGTTTGTCTTCCCTTCTTATTTTTACAAATAATTCAAAGCAGCGAACGTAATCCTCCTCCTATTGTCCCCACAATAACAACTCTGTGGGAAAAGTTAGGCTGAGAGAGAGGGACTAGAACTCACAGTCACCTGGTGATTGGCTCAAAGTCACCCAGCCTGCTTTCATGCCTAAGGCAGGACTAGAACTCACAGTCACCTGGTGATTGACTCAAAGTACCCAGACTGCTTTCATGCCTAAGGCAGGACTAGAACTCACAGTCACCTAGTGATTGAACCAAAGTCACCCAGTCATCTTTCAAGCCTAAGGCACGACTAGAACTCAGAGTCTCCTGGCGATTGGCCCAAAGTCACCCAGCTGGCTTTGATGCCTAAGGTGGAACTAGAACTCACCATCTCCCACTTTTCTAGCTTGGTGCCTTAACCACAAGTCCAAACAGACTTTCAGGGGACAATCACGTCATGGGATAACAGCAAGGGAGATCAGGAGCTAAAAATCTATTTCTGTTGCCTGGTCATCTTCTTAAGTCCAGAGTTATTTCAACCTATTAAACTATTACCTGCTACCATCTCATGAACCTACCATCTGCACAAATCTAGGAAGCATTACTGAGACACCTGGTTTCTTCTTGCTATATCTGCCAGGTACCACCTACGACAGTGATTTCCACCCTGCTTTCAAATTGGGTTTACAAATTGTAAGGCCGAAGAGACCACCTGAGCTAACTCAGAAAGTACATAAAGTGATTTGAAAATGCCTGATCTCATCCATGTAGGGCAGTGTTTCTCAACCTTGGAAGCTTGAAGATTCTATCTATCATCTATCTATTCTATTCTATTCATCTATCTATCTATATCTATCTATCTATCATCTATCAATTCTATTCATCTATCTATCATCTATCTATCATCTATCATCTATCAATTCTATTCATCTATCTTTCTTTCTATCTTTCTATCATCTATCTTTCTTTCTATCTTTCTATCATCTATCTATTCTATTCATCAATTCTATTCATCTATCTTTCTATCTATCTACCTATCATCTATCTATTCTATTCATCAATTCTATTCATCTATCTATCTTTCTATCTATCTATCTATCTATCTATCTATCTATCATCTATCTATTCTATTCTATTCATCTATCTATCATCTATCTATCATCTATCTATCTATCTATCATCTATCAATTCTATTCATCTATCTATCTATCTATCATCTATCTATCTATCTATCTATCTATCATCTATCTATTCTATTCATCAATTCTATTCATCTATCTTTCTATCTATCTATCTATCTATCTATCATCTATCTATTATATTATATTCATCTATCTATCTATCATCTATCTATCAGCTATCATCTATCAATTCTATTCATCTATCTTTCTATCTTTCTTTCTATCTATCTATCTACTCTACATCCATACATACATCCGTTCCTGTTCTATAAATGGAACATTTATTTATGTTTCTAGCTGGCCTCAATTTAACACTACACTAAAGGATGGTCCTAGTTTTAATTTTCTTTGGGTCTTTTTTCCCATTCCTTCTCTTAGGTTTCAGCTCATCCTAATCGCTACGGCGGACAATTCCTTGGTGGTACCGTCGCTGTCCTTTGTTATACAGCATTTCACGCCCAGATTAAAGCATAACGATAACAAAAACAGGCCAAGGCTTTGCAGAAAGCTGACCTGGACTCTGGATTCAGGCAGATTGATCTTCAGGGCAACCTCTTCGCGCATGAAGATGTCCGGGTAGCGAGTCTTGGCAAAGAGGGCCTCCAGGATATCTAGCTGGGCCCGCGTGAAGGTGGTGCGCTCACGTCTTTGCTTCCGTGGAGTCGCTGGAGGAAAAAAGGAACAGAGTCAGAGAAGGCCAAAAAGATACACGTTCTACCAAAAATGCATGGCTCCATCCCGACCTTCGTCTCTCTACTCATGGTTCATTTCACACCCATCCCACAAAATCCCTCTTCTTGTTGGCATCCTTTTATCCCCTCATCTTGGTCATGAAGGTCCCTAAATAATACGGGTTAGTGTTTTATCCTTGGCGCTCTCGCTGAGCTTGGTTGTTTTCTTGCAGACGTCTCCTGACCCAACTAGGTAACGTCTTCAGTGCTAAGAAGGAATGGGGCAGTGGGGGGTTGCTCCCGGGTTGCACCAGTTCGCAAGAACCGGTAGTAAAAATTTGTAGTAGTTTGGAGAACTGGTAATAACACTGGCTGGCCACGCCCACAACCAGTCCCTGGCCCGGTCGCCACTCGCTTACCCCACCCACCTCATCAGTCATAGGCTTTTTTTTTTTTTACTTTTAAAAGCATTTTTTCTACAACCTCTTCGGCCAAAAAAATGCTTTTAAAAGTAAAAAAAAAAAAAAGCCTCCGATGATCGCGCGCCTCAGCTGGGATCGTCAGAGGCTTTTAAAAACATTTTTTTCTACAACCTCTTCAGCCGAAGAGATTGTAGGGGAAAAAAATGCCTTTAAAAGCCTCTGACGATCCCAGCTGAGTTGCCTGATCATCAGAGGCTTTTCAAACCATTTTTTTCTGCAACCTCTTAAGGTTGTAGAAAAAATGCTTTTAAAAGTACAAAAAAAAAAAAGTTGGCCACGCCCACCCAGTCACATTACCCCCACCAAGCCATGCCCACAAAATAAGCCACACCCACAGAACCGGTAATAAAAAAATTTAGAACCCACCCCTGGAATGGGGTTTATAAACCCCATTCTGTTCTAGCACGGATGATGCTACCTAGTTGAATCATGAAACGTCCCTCCTCCTCCTCCTCCTCCTCCTCTTCTTCCTCCTCCTCCTCCCCACCACCATCAACCAAAGATCCCAATGGTTCAATCCTGAGCTACAAATATTCTCTTCTACTATATCACTTGCTTGGTGATTTAAAGGCAGATTAAAGCAGCTTCTAAAAAGCAAACTTTAGCCACGATAATGGTAAGGGAGAGTCAGTTTGGTGTAAGGTTAAAGGCACCAGATGACACACCAGGAAACCACGGGTTCTAGCCAGTGGTGAAATCCAATTTTTTTTAATACTGGTTCTGTGGGTGTGGCTTGGTGGGCGTGTCCCGGTGGGCATGGAAGGGGAAGGATACTGCAAAATCTCCCTTCCCACCCCACTTTGGGACCAGCCAGAGGTGGTATTTGCCGGTTCTCCGAACTACTCAAAATTTCCGCTACCGGTTCTCCAGAACCTGTCAGAACCTGTTGGATTTCACCCCTGGTTCTATTCCTTTCTTAGGTACCAACCTAGCTGGTTGTGATCAAAAATCAGATACTTGGCAACTGGTTCATACTTATGACGATTGCCATGTCCCAAGGTCATATGATCCCATTTTGCAACCTTCCGAGAAGCAGAGTCAACGGGGGAGCCAGATTCGCTTAACAACCTCGTTACTAATTTATCAACTGCAGTGATTCACTTAACGACAGTGGCAAGAAAGGTTGTAAAAATGGGGCAAAGCTCACTTAACAACTGTCCCACTTAGCAACAGAAATGGTGGTCTCAAGTTGAGGACTGCCTGTATTTAACCATTACTACTGAGTAGGTAGGTAGATCAGTAAAATGCAGTCTATCCACCAAATGTGGTACACACAACCACTTAAAAAGTGTAAGGCTTAAACTGGATGGATTTGCTAGCAACCCAAAGGAGAGTGCTGGACGAACTACCAAAATTGCTAAAATAGGTCAAAATTAGTTTTTAGTTTTTAGTTGTCTGCTGTATTTCTCCACTTTGGAAGATTTCAACTCCCAGAATTCCCAAAGCTATCTGGGGTAATCTGGGAGTTGAAGTCCACCCAATTCCTCAGAGGCCAGGTGGGGGAAAAAATGATTACAGATCATTAAAGAGGATTAATAAAGACCAAAAAAAAAAAAAAGATTATTAAGGACTCCCAGGGCTGTAGATAGGTTGAAATTTCTGCATAAGAATTTAAAATTAAGAAGGCAGCATGGTTGAACTAGGACTTTTACCATTACCCTCTAAATATCAGATCTGTGCACCATGGATATTAGTGTCTATGGGTTATATTAATGATCTTTATTACATCAGAATAGCTATCAATAATCAATACAGTTGGCTGGGTTTGCTCCCTGGTTCTAAAATATCAAGTGAATTTTTTCTGCTGATTTTTTCTTGTATAATGTTTGCTGAGAGGGATTTTAAAGCTAAAGTTCATGGCTTCAGGTCAACCTGTTTAATTCCCATTGCTAAATTTTATTGGAAATTCCAGGTACATATACCGAATTCCTCAGAGGAGTTGCGGGAAAAAGTTTATTAATTGAATATTAGATTTGCACAACAGCGAATGCAATAATAAAAGCGAACTGCACAATGGAATCAAGAAAGAACGCGGAGACCGAATAACCTTAAACAGCATTATTTTTTTAAAAAAAACAGTCAAGCGTAATTTAGCTGAAACCGTCTCAGAATCTTTCTTCCCTTCTTCCTCACTGATTATTATGGATTATTTTACTTTAATGCTTCCTTCAAGTTGCAATTGGAGTAATAAAAACATATTCCAGGAAAAAAAAATAACCCATGTCTTGGTCATTGTTTATTTAGGCTTAGATATAAATGTGCAATTTGGAAAGGGCTGAATATTTATGGAGGCAATGGCAAATTTTGAAGGATGGCTTTAAAATTCAGATTTGGGGGGGGGACCATACTTTTAACATGGTCCTGAATTGTAAAAAAAAAAAAAAACATTTTAAATTTCCACCAGTTGCCTTTTTTTCTGGACAGAAAAACAAGCCAGTTTTGTTTTATTCCAAAAATACATTCTACGTTACTATTCTTCATTACAAATTGTGTTGCATTCTGCTTTACAAACTTTGCATTCTGTAACGCTTGTATTCTATGTTACAAACTGCTTGATATATTATCATTTTCTTCTTCTATCCCCAAGATAGAAATAGGTGTCTTTATGCCTAAAGAACTGAGAACCGGATGTAATTTGAAACATTTTAGATTTTAGATTGTACTGAAATGGATAATAGATAAAAATAGATAAAAAAGACACAGAATATTACCTGATATGGAATAGATTTTATGAGTGGTTAGAGACAAGAGGTAGAAATTAAAGGAAGAAAGACTATGAATGTATGTATTAAAAATAAAGATGGTTTATAACTACAATCAGGCCAATATACTGAACAAAAATGTAAATAAGCTAATAGAAAAAGAAACTTAGTTAAAAACACAAAAAGAACTGAGAACCTTTTATAAACAAATAATTTATTATTTTTGGCTGGCAAATTCTGGGACTTGAAGTCCACACATCTCAAAAGTTGCCAGGTTTGGGAAGTGGAAATCTGATTTATTTGCTTACTACTTTAAATCTTGCCTTCCAATTTTCTTTCCTTTGCGCTAACTTCTAATTCCTCACAAGACTTTCTAGGTGAGAATCAGTCATTATCTCCTTCTTATAATATGGGGAAGGGCGGGAGGTTTTAGCAGAACTGTAATTTTTCTCCTAAAATCCACAGAAAAGAAATGAAAAACTAACCACAATGGATAGATCACAGCCATATTTTTTAAAAAAACAAACAAACACATTACTGGAAACTGTAGTACAGCTGAAAGATAGCAGATTGCAAACAGCTATTTTTATTCTAGCCGTCTTCCAGACAAGGAATAAAACTCTTAAAACTCTTCTGCATAATTTTATTTACAAAAGAACAGCCCAAATCTTCTGAATTAAAAAATAAAATAAAATTTAGAATTTCTCTAAGAAAACGAAATTGATCATTTCAATTTTTTGTGAATGGAGAAATGGGAACTTTTCACCTTTTAAAAGTGATTATCTCTCCCACCCCAAAAAAATATTTTTGATTTACTTAATATGAAATAAGCCCGTGCAGGAAGTTTGAAGGAGGGGAATTGTCTCTGAAAACTTACAGGATTTCCTTCCTTTTCTAACCGCATTGACTCTCAATGTCCAGAACATGATAATAATCCATACAATACTGAAAGACCCAAACAAGAAAAAAATAATATATGGAAATTGACTTACTGGGGTATCCAACGGCTGAATGCAATAAATCCATCCCAGGTCCGGCCAAAGTTAACCCATTGACGGCATAATGTGGTTGCTTGATGTAGGACATCATGCTCAGAGAAATGGTGTCTCCAAAGTCTTCTCTTTGGCTTTGGATGATCAAGGTGATGTTCCTTCTGGGCCTTCAATGAACTTTGAGAAGACAATCTTTGGGCTTATCCTGGCCACTCAGCATCGAAGGGCAACTGGGGGTGGGGAAAAAAAAGACCCACAGGAAATTGGTGGGCTCCACCCCAAGGGGCCAGAGGTGGAGAAGAGCCTGGCCAATGGAGAGCAGAAGACAAGAGAAGGCTTCTCCAGCCCTTTCAGAAATGGTGGAAAAGCTTGGAGAAGACCAGGTGGTCTCCTGGTCTTTCTTTCTTGCACAACATAGCCAATGCTCTCCAGCAGTTGCAGGAGCTCCTGTTGAGATGGGCCTTTTCAAAACTTGACTTTGGGGCCCCACCCTCTAAGAAGCTTTTAAACACACACACAAAGACACACACTGGCAACTCCATCCCGAGTGAAGGAGGGGCTAACAGGGCTGGGATTTTAGCAACTCAAAAGACAAAGCTAATAGGTCCCCAGCAATTCAATCAGCCCCGTTCTTTGTGAGTCTATTCTTACTCAAATGGGCAGGTTAAGTCAACTCATTAAATGTTATGGATGGCCCCCTCTGAACTTTGTTTTTGTGGGGGGGGTTTTTTGGCAGCCCCCTCCCCAAAGAGGTTGGTAGAGGGTCTACAGCATTGGATGGTTTTATTTATTTATTTATTTATTTATTTATTATTCAAACTTCTATACCGCCCTTCTCCTTTCGGACTCAGGGCGGTGAACAGCCAAAATAAAAACATTTATACATAACATTACAATTAAAAATAGATTTAAAATAATTAATAAATTTGGCCCGTAATTTAAAACTTGTCAATTTAAAATCCGTATCAAAATTTTAAAACCAACCCTAAAATCAAGACAGACCGGCTAACTGAAAAAAGTAAGTTTTTAGGGCCCGACGAAAAGTCCGGAGGTCGGAGATCACTCGTATCTCTGGGGGTAGATTGTTCCAAAGGGTAGGTGCCACCACAGAGAAGGCTCTCCTCCTGGGGGTCGCCAGCCGGCATTGTCTGGCCGACGGCACCCTGAGGAGGCCCTCTCTGTGGGAGCGAACCGGCCGGTGGGAGGCTATTGGTGGCAGAAGGTGGTCTCATAAGTACCCCAGCCCTAAGCCATGGAGCGCTTTAAAGGTGATCACCAACATCTTGAAGCGCACCCGGAAGTCCACTGGACTTTTGGTCTTCCAGAAAAAAAAAAATTTGCACCTAAAACCCGGCAAAATTCAGATTTTGAAACAGATAGGTTGTGTTTGTTCCCTCTTCTGGAGAAGTGTTGACTCCCTGTCCGAGTCCAGATTTTATTTTGCTCTGGAGTGATTGAATTAGGGAAGAACAGAACTGGAAGGGACCTTGGAGGTCCTCTAGTCTGACCCCCTGCTCAAGCAGGAGACCCTACATCATTCCTGATAAAAGGCTTGTCCAATCTCTTAAAAACCTCTGTTAACTGACAATACACTAGAGCAAAAAGCTTACATGCAGATGAAAGTAAAGCTGGCTAGCCCCCCCCCCTTTTACAGTCTGGGGCTGACTTAATGCCTACCTTACAGGGCTGATTTTTCAGCATGGATGAGATGATAAACCGGCAGATAACTTGAAAATGCTGGCTGCATCCAAGCTAAATTCTCATCCTTGGCTGATGGGTTTGTAGGTTTGAATACATTCAAGGGTAAATTGGGAGGTGGGCTCTTTAAAACTCTGCCCCTTAACTGTTCAGACAGTAATAAGGCTGAGCATGTACAGAGTGTTTCTCTCTTAAAATCTCTTAATCGTGGCACCAGATCATGGCATCAGATGATCCCAAAGTGGCTTGGAAATTAAGATCCCAGGACTCTGGCGTTAATTTCTGAGGCATTCCTTTATTCCACAATCCATCCTAGAGTCCAAGTAAAATGCAACAAACCGCAGAAACATTGTTTAATAAACTAGTGCAAAGAATTACGCCTGATTCTTTATACTAGTCTATTTGCAAGTCTCCCACCATTTCCTGGTTATTATTTTCTGCTTTAGAAATGTCACTGGGGGAGGGGGCGGCAAGGAAAATAACGGCCACAATTTTCTCTTCTTCCTCCTCTTTTTTGGGATTAGGAAATATCAGATGTTATACACAGGAGACACTGCACCTTAATCTCTCTCCTTTGGCTTACTCAATTAACGGAAGAGGAAAGAGAGAGAGGAGAGGCATAAAACGAAGCTCGCAGCAAGAAAGACAAAGACCATGTAAAACAAAATAAAATCCTAAGGATGAAGCAATTTTTTATGCCTTGCAGTCCATGGGAGAGAGGGAAGAGGGGGGGTGGAAATCCCTGCAAGTGAGTCACCAAAAGATTGGAAGAGAATAAAGGAGTCATCAAAGCCTTAGATTTTTAAAACCCGAAAACCAGATTATCTTTGTAAAAAAGAAAAAAAAATGAGTTCAAGCTGATAAGAAGGGATGGTCCAAAAATATAGGCTAGCCAAAAATAGGCACAAAAGGGAAACTTCTGTCACCTAAGAGTTTCTCAATTGGCTGAGACTATCTATCTATCTATCTATCTATCTATCTATCTATCTATCTATCTATCTATCTATCTATCTATCTATCTTATCATCTCTCTATCTCTCTATTATCTATCATCTATCATCTATCAACTCTTTATCATCTATCATCTATCATCTATCTCTATTATCTATCATCTCTCTCTCTCTCTCTCTCTCTCATCTCTCATCTGTCACCTATCACCTATCATCTCTGTCTGTCTGTGTCTGTCTATCTATCTATCATCTCTCTATCTATCTATCTATCATCTATCATCTGTCACTTCTCTATCATCTATCATCTATCATCTCTGTCTGTCTCTGTCTGTCTGTCTGTCTATCTATCTATCTATCTACCTATCTATTTATCATCTCTCTCTCTATCTCTCATCTGTCACCTCTCTATCATCTCTGTCTGTCTGTCTATCTATCTATCATCTCTCTCTGTCTCTCTATCATCTATCTATCTATCTATCTATCTATCTATCTATCTATCTATCTATCTATCTATAATCTCTATCTCTCGGTATCTATCTATCTGTCTGTCTGTCTATCTATCATCTCTCTCTCTGTGTATCTATCTAGCTATCTAGCTATCTATTCATCCATCCATCCATCATATCTCTCTCTCCCCCCCTCCCTCCCCCCATCATGTTTTCTGCTCTTGAATTTTCTGTTTTTCCTTCTCCTTTTGCCCCTTCTCCTTCCTTTTCCTTTGGTTTTTGATTAGAAAAAGGTGAACACAAGTGGAGCAGGGAGAGAGAAGCCGAAGCTGATGAAATCTCAGTGGAAATTGAAGGGAAGCCTGTGAACTTCAACCTTTCAAGGCTCCTAAATGTTTTCTGGATCTGACTTTCAAATCTACCTCTGGAGCTCCAAAATCTGCTTCTGGAGCTCCGGGGGAATCGATCAAAAGCACTTGGGGAGAAAGGTGGAATTATGCACGGCTGAATGTTATCCACCACCTCGGTTTCTCTCCTCCTCCATCATTGCATCCCTTCTTTTCCCTCTCCGTTCCCATCTCCCCAAATCGTTTCGGAAGAATTTACACGCGTGTTCCGCGCAGGGTTTAAAAATCCTCTCTCTCCCCCCCCCCCCCCCCCCTCCCCCCCCCCCCCCCCCCCCCACGCCTTGTTGGGTCTTCACTTTGTCAGACGTCCCACGGAGACCCACCCGGGAGCCTCTCTCCCATCGGACGCAGCCAATAAACCAAACACCCTTCGAGTTTTTTTTCCAAGTTTGGGTTGCGCGAGTTTCCGCTCCCTTTCCATTAACAAACTCGGATTGGGCTGATCAACCCAACCCCGAAAGGAAAGAAGGAAAAAGGTGGCGGGGCGAAGTGATAGACAGGCATTTAACTGCTTTTTGACACCTTCCACCTCTGGCTTGGGGGGGGGGAGGCAAATTTGGGGAGCCTTGGAGTGGGGGGAAGGCAAAAATCAGATTTCCTAGCTCCGTTTCTCTGTCTAAAGAGAGATTTGCCGAAGTTTCAGCTTTTATTTATCTATTTATTGATTTTTGCATAAGAGACATTTGAATGGCTTTGTTCTCTCCGGTTAAAATCTGTGGATTGGGGGAAAAGCGGGTAGCCTTAAGGGAGGGCTAACGGTCACTTTGTAAAGAGGACTTTACAAAACTTCTAAGAAGTTTTTTTCCCTCCCCCCCCCAATTATTATATTGTAAGCCACCCGGAGTCGTCGTAAATTTGAATTAAGACATGATAGACGTCTTTATTTATGCGTGTCCCATCTTTATTCTTATTATTTTTCTTTACAAATAACTCCAGGTGGCAAATATATGTCCAACACACTTTCCTTCTTCCTTCACAACAGCCACTCTGGGAGGTGGGTTGGGCTGAGAGGGAAGGGCTGGCCCGAGGTCATCCCGCTGACTTTCATGGCTAAAACGGGACTTGAACTCATAAGCTCCTGCTTTCTAGCCTGGCGCCCTAACCACTAGACCAAGTTGGCTCTCTTAAAAATAAGAAATGTATTTAATTTAATTATTTAACGGATGGTATCTGCAGAGGTCATGCAATTACTGATATACAAATTTAGTTTAAATAAAGTGTCAGCAAATCTATATCTATATAGCTACAGCTGTAGTTATAGCTAACCCTAACCCTATATCTGTATATCCATCTTTCTCTTTCTTTCTTTCTTTCTTTCTTTCTTTCTTTCTTTCTTTCTTTCTTTCTTTCTTTCTTTCTTTCTTTCTTTCTTTCTTTCTTTCTTTCTTTTTCCTTCCATCCATCATCTATCTATCTATCTATCTATCTATCTATCTATCTATCTATCTATCTATCTATCTATCTATTTTCTTTTATGTATACCAAGACGTATGCACCAAATTCCATGTGTGTCCAATCACACTTGGCCAATAAAGAATTCTATTCTATTCTATTCTATTCTATCATCTACCTATCTCTAATTTCTATCATCTATCTATCTAATCCATATGGATTAGATATCCATCCATCCATTTTTCTATCTATCTATCTATCTATCTATCTATCTATCTATCTATCTATCATCTATCTTATCATCTATCTATCATCTATCTATCTATCTATCTATCTATTTATCTATCTATCTATCTATCTATTTTCTTTTATGTACACCAAGAGCGTATGCACCAAGACAAATTCCATGTGTGTCCAATCACACTTGGCCAATAAAGAATTCTATTCTATTCTATTCTATTCTATTCTATTATCATCTACCTATCTCTAATTTCTATCATCTATCTATCTAATCCATATGGATTAGATATCCATCCATCCATTTTTCTATCTATCTATCTATCTATCTATCTATCTATCTATCTATCTATCTATCTATCTATCTATCATCTATCTATCTATCTATCTATCTCATCTATAATCTCTATCTCTATCTGATGTGGACAATGCAATATAGGAGACAAAATATTAAATTAAGGAAAAACCATAATAAAATCCCCATAATATGGAGCTATGGAATTGCAATGGGGTGGATATTCTAACTTGATGCCTAAGGAAGCTAACCATCTCTAACTGCTTCTGGTGTTGGCTGTGAAGAGATAAATATGGAATGTGTAGCTAGCCAAAGTGTGAGTGGATGCAGGATTTGAACTGCTCCAGATCAGTCATAAGAAATGTTAAAAATATCCAGCTCTCCGAGAGTCTTAAACCACCAGTGTGACCTGGTTAATGAGATACAGTAATATCTGGTTAATGGGATATAGTAATAAGATGTATCCCTGTGGGTTCCTTGGTGAAAAACTCAACCTTTGTCTTAGTGCATTGTGTGAACCAAAGGGATGGTTTCCTTGAGTCACAACAGGGCTTATTGGTTAGTTATGTAAATACAGCCACTTGGTTAACCTGGATTTAAGGTTCAATGTTTTCTGTAAACTCAGCTGGCTAACCGGATTCTGGAGACTGACCTACGGTTGAGGAAGTCCTTCCTTAAGGACTTGACTTCATCATGAGCTCCTTATGGACCATGGAAGCCTGCCTACCCACAAACACACACGCACACACAGCCCTCGCCTTGGCTGTAACATCATAATCAACAGGCAAGGGACATACAAACTATATGTAAACCATGGTTATCAATTTCATTATCCCAGATCCCCGGATCCCCGCGGCGTATTTATCACTCTGTTTATTTAAATGGGAGGCCTTCGGATGATCGAATCAAGAACATCTAAGTTGATTTTTATCATTCTATTCTAGCTTCTTGGGCCCTTCAAGAAAAAAACAAAAGGGAAATTGTTTACATGTTTATTCAGTTCTTAAAAGCACTTAAGATAAGGAAGCCGGTGTAAGGTTTGTAAACAGTAAAATATTCTTTCTGTAATGAAGCTGTTCGCACCTGATAAAGGATATCACCTGGTTAGTTGTAGATCCGTGTGGCAAGTTTACACAGGAGTAAGTCTCAAAGAGTTTATTGAAAAGGTTTCTGGGTAAATGAAGTGAAGATTTCAGATTTATTCATGGTATTGGGAAATCTAAGAAGGGATTTTTTGGGGGGAAAAATCCCCATTTCTCAATCTGGATAAATCTTTCTTTCTTTCTTTCTTTCTTTCTTTCTTTCTTTCTTTCTTTCTTCTTTCTTTCTTCTTTCTTTCTCTTTCTCTCTTTCTCTCCTTTCCTTGTTTTCTTTCTTTCCTTCCTCCTCTTTTTCCTTCCTTTGTTCCTTCCTTCCTTCCTTCCATCCATCATCTATTTATCCTAATTTATTTGCCACTCATCTTACAACTCTGAAAATTATGTACTGAAGGCCAGCATTTACCAAACCTGCTTAATCTAGTTACTGAATTCACCCATTTTCTGAATTTACACATTGCACTGAATCATGGTTACCCATAATCCCCCTGGATAAGATGGCGGCCAACAAATTTTACAAATAAATATTTAAATAAATATAAGCTCACCAAAAGGTGAGCCTTGATTTGCCCAGCACCCTAAACCATAAAAAGTTAACCTGGGTTTATTGTAACCAAGTTTAATTTTTCTTTCTTTTTTTCCCCCCCTGCATTTATTTATATCTCACTTTTATTATTTTTACAAATAATTCAGGATGGTGAACATATATAGTTCTTCTCCTCTTTCCCCCAAAAACAACAACCCTGTGAGGTGGGCTGGGCTAAGAGAGAGGAACTGGTCCCAAATCACCCAGGCGGCTTTGATGGCTAGGGTGGAACTAGAACTCACTGTCTCCTGGTAAAGTCTCCCAGCTGGCTTTCATTTCTAAAACAAGACTAGAACTCACAGCCTCCTGGTGATTGGCCCAAAGTCACTTAGCCAGCTTTCATGGCTAAGGTGGGACTTGAACTTTCACTTTCTATCTTGGTGCTTTAACCACTAGACCAAACTGGCTTTATTTATTTAGTTTTATTGATTAGGTTCTGTCTTTTGCAATCTATAACCCAGACAGTTATTTCCTTTTATCTTCCTCCTTTATTATCCTTGTTTTATTGTGCATGTTGCTTTCTGCTTTTATTTACCTTAAAATGGGTGGGCAAAATATCCTTGATTTTTAAAAGGTGGTTTCTTTTCCATGGGAATTTAGAGTTCTTTAATTTATATTAGGGAGGCTGTTGAAAAGAAAGCTGCCAAATATCTATTCAAATATATCCATGTGGAGAGACTGAAATATACCAGATTCTTAATCTAAGGAATTGAAGACTTGGGGCTTAGCAAAAAAAGGCAGATGTTGTTTTGCCCTAGATATTTTTTTTTTCCATTTTAAAGGGATGCCATCTTTTTCCGGTGTCTGGGATTATAGGTTTATAAAGTGGGGGAAAGATGCAGGGACAATCCTTTAAAGCAAACACAAAAACTTTGAATTTTTCTTTTGTGGATATGTTGCTTTCTGTTGCATATCTAAGCGTGATAATCTCACTTGAGAGATAGGATGGGGTCTATTAAATCCAAAATAAAACCAACATCCATTTTTTCCCCTTCTGACAGCAACAGAAAATAACTAAACAATGCTAAACATATTTATATTCTGTAGAAAATGTGGAACTAAAAGATGATGAAGTTACTGTGTTTGGGATAAGGTTGGAAACTGGAAACCCTAATCACGCCCTTCAAAGTCAAAAATTAGTGCTGCTATTTTAATTTTGGGGAGAAAATATACAGTCCATTTTATCGGTATAATCTTGATTGCAGTAGCACGTCCTGATTTAAACTCTGCAATTATTAATATATATATATATATTAGAGAAGATAGGCATGGGGTAGATGCGGAGTGAATCAAGTTGCATTCGTTCATTTTAAGTCATCTAAAACAGGCGTAAAAGCAAATTTGTAGACAATAAAGAAAACCCTGACTCTTAAGTCTCTTCCATTTCTTCTCTTCTCCAACCTTCATTCTTTCAACTCCAAATGAGCAAAGTGTTGATTTCTTGAAATGAAACTCTGTAATAATCTTGAAGAATGAAATTATGACTTTTTATTCATCTCCTGAGACTAACGTGGAGACATCCTGATGGTTCCTATATAAAACATTGCTTTTCTCTTGAAGGATACCTGTTGGATCCTATATGAAACATTGTTTTTCTCTTGAAGGATGCACCTTGATACGAAAATATTCTGTAAAGGATCCAATATTTTCCAGTTTGGATTCCTTGGGTTATAAATCATAATCATAAACATTAACAAATAGGAATTGCTTTGACTACCTCTTCCTTTACTGGAGATGATAAATAGAGTTGGGGGGGGGGAATCTCTAGTAACTTCTACTTTCAAGATACTTTTCAGAAGCAGCCTAAGGTAAACTCATGCAATTATACGGAATTTTCCCCTATGTTCCTTTCACATAATTAATTAATTTTGCCCTTTCCGAAAGCTCTGAAAACCTCTCTCCAGTATAACAAATCCTGCTTGCACGGATGCCTTATAGAAGATGACAAAAATATTTGTTATGATCAAAGATTTCTTTGATTAGGTGGACCTCCAAAATACGTAAAATTATTCTGTTACGGTATCACAGTCCCTAAATTGCCAAAAATTCTTAGGCGGGGCAGAAGAAGAAAGCAAAATTGGACAGAATATTGAAGATCGTTGAAGATTTCTAGATTGGATCTGCAAATAATGAATGGATATTTATGTTCGTGGCGTCCTTCTAAATCTACCCAAAACATATTTCTTGTTTCTTCTCTGTTAGGACGGAGACAATCATCACCATCTACTGGTCTCCTGAGACTGAAGTAAATGTTCTGGAGTCCTGTTCCCCAAACACATACATAGACACACACACACACCTATACAAAATACAGCGGCTTCGGAGTTTCATAAAAAAAAAAAGCTTCCTTACCTTCTCTCGGTGGCCGCTCCAAGGTGTAGGTGCCCAGGCTAGAGACAACTGTGAGCTTCTGTAAGAAAACATAGCAAAGATTTGGTCTGGGGATGACTCCAACTGAAAAACCCAAGACAGCTGTTTCCTGACCCCATGAAACCAGAGAAAATAACCCTAGCTAGAAAGAGCAAAATGTGTTAAAAGGATAACCGTAGAAATACAGTGGGAGATCATTCCCTATAATCTGTAATAAAAAGAGAAGCTTAACCTGAATTGAAAGAGATTTAGAGCTGGGAAGAGATTGTGTGTAGACTGGGACTTCTCCGAGCATTTAGATGTGAAGGTTTGGGATTTGCTCCTCTTAAGCCCTAGAGAAAAGCTGGGTGTGGTAGTGGCAGCCACTGCGGCAGGGAAGTGGTGATGGTGGCCAGAGCGGTCACCCATGGGGGAAGGGTGCACTCGACAACAGTTTGGTGCGCGCACATTGTCCAGAGTCCATTCTAAGAGCTGCTCCGGAGACTTCACATGATTGGTATTAGAGCCACGCTCTGAAGATTAATAAGTAGAAAAATTGTTCCTTGCAGGTTGATAAAGACGCCGGGTTTTCTGCTGTTGGGTAGGATCAGGGCCACCTGAGTCATTAGAGGGTGGATGACATTTTTTTGGGGGTGGGAGAGAAACACATTTGGGGGTTCATCAGGGGTTAGGGTTAGGCCCCATGCACTTGGCTTCCTGGAGGTTGACAGAGAACAGAATAACAGAGTTGCAAGATAACAGAGTCTTCTAGTCCAACCCCTTGCTCAAGCAGGAGATGTTAGATCCTGGTCAAATGGTTGTCCACTCTCTTCTAAAAACCTCTGGTGATGAAGCACCCACAGCTATCTTCTAAAAACCTCCGGTGATGGAGCACCCATAATTTACCTAGAGGCAAATTGCTCCACTGATTGATTGTTCTCACTGTCAGGAAATTCCTCCTTGGTTCTAGGTTGCTTCTCTCCTTCATTAGTTTCCATCTTGTTATTTCTTGTCCTTGCCTTCAGGTCTTTTAGAGAATAGGTTGACCCACCTCATTTTTCTAGCAACCCCTTAGTTATTGGAAGACTGCTTTCATGTCAACCCCAGACATCCCTAGTTGTTGGGTGAGGGACTCAAGTTGGCTTTAGCTTTGATTCTTCTCCTCGAATTCTTCTGTTCCCACCACCATCCTAAGATTTGCCTTTGGGAAACAGCCACGGGTGTTGGACAGCTGTTTTGATCCTTCTGCACTGAGTTGTCCCCCCCCTTCCCCCACCCCCGCTTTCAAAAACCATGAGTTTGGTAGCACCTTTTGAGATTCACACATTTTCTTTGAAAAGTTCAAAAGATGCTACGTTAGCAAAATCCTCCTGACGTTTAGCTATCAGAGTCCGACATGGTTCTCCAGAGCAGGGGTCTCCAACCTTGGCAACTTTAAGCCTGGTGGACTTCAACTCCCAGAATGCTCCCAGAATGCTTCGTGCTTTTAGAAGCACGAAGCCGAAGACACCAGTCTGAAGATGACGAATGGGACTTTGTTGAAACGTCACCAAGACACTTCCAATTTTACGCGGGAGAAAACCCGAATAACCAAAGACATATATATATATATATATATATATATATATATATATATATATATATATATATATATATATATATATATATATTTATATATATATATATATATATATATTTTATATATATATATATATATATATATATATATATATATATATATATATATATATATATATATATATATATATATATATATTATATATATATATATATATATATATATATATATATATATATACACACAATATATACATATATATATATATTATATCCTTTATTCGGGAGAACGACAAGAGCCCAATCAAGAGCCTTGATAGTACAGTGGTTTAATGCACCCTGTCATTAACACAGCTGCCTGCAATTTCTGCTAGTTCGAATCTCTCCAAGGCTCAAGGTTGACTCAGCCTTCCATCCTTTCTAAGGTAGGTAAATTGAGGACCCAGTTTGTGGGGGCAATAAGCTGACTTTGTATAAAATATACAAAAGAATGAAGGCTATTGCTTAAGGTACTGTAAGCCGCCCTGAGTCTCCGGAGAAGGGCGGCATATAAATCAAATTAAAAAAAAAAAAAGTCAAAACAAAGCTTTTTTTCTTTTTTCTTTTTACAAAGAGGTATCTTCATTAAACTTCATTTGGATTCCCTGCTGCAAATACTGCATAGTTTTAAATCGGCAGAGGAATCTTTAAACCAGACAGTAGGAAATGTGTGCAAAATGGGGAAAAAATAAAATAAAAATAGGATGCCCATTTAAGCCCAGATTTCGTTTCTTGGTTCGTAATGCTGACGAGGATAATGAGCGGAAGGGAAACGTTGATAACTTCAGCGGTTTACATAAAAACATTAAATGTTCATTTGACTTCGCTCCGGCTTCTTAAAAACGTAAAAAGCAGCGTGGGCTAAAGCCACCGGCAAAAAAAAAAATAAAAAATTAAAATCTTCTTTCTTTTAGAGAGCTGTTGCACAATACATCTAAATGCTTTCTTGGACATTTTTCTTTGCTAAGCTTCTTAGCAGAGTAATTTCAGGGGAAGGATCCGAGAGAGCAAAATTTTCAGTCCTTTTTACACGCTCATTAATAGTCTGCGGCAAATGTCCTTAATCCCCTCTTTTCTGCTGTTCCAGATGCCGCTTAGTTTTTGTGGGTTTTTTTTTTCCCTCCAGTAGCATGGATGGCTACGTGGAATTGCAGAGCAAATGTGAAATGCAAGGGGACGCTGCTTCTGCGTGTGTGTTATTTTTGGAACGGCTAAATGATGGTGGGGGCCTCAGGTTATTTATTTTTATTTAGAGACTGTCTTTATTTTTAAAAAAAAAAAATTATAAGCAACCCAAGGTGGCCAACATATCTAATATCCCTTCTTCCTCTTATTTTTCCCCATAATAACAACTCTGTGAAGTGGGTTGGATTGAGAGGGATTGTCTCAAACTCACCCAGTCGGCTTTTGTGCTTAAAGTGGAACTAGAACTCACCGTCTCCCAGTGATTGGCCCAAAGTCACCCAGCCTGCTCACATGCCTTAGGCAGGACTAGAACTCACTGTCTCCCGGTGATTGGCCCAAAGTCACCTAGCAGACTTTCATGCCTTACCCAGGGCTAGAACTCACCATCTCCCAGTGATTGGCCCAAAGTCACCCAGCCTGCTTTCATGTCTAAGGTGGGACTAGAACTCAATGTCTCTTGGTTTCTAACCTGGTACCTTCACCACTAGACCAAACTATCTCTAGGTTATGCCTACGTATATTGTCTGAACCCAGTCAGTTATGGGGTGAGGTAAATTTAGATCATGTTAGCATAACATTAGGTTATGATATCAAAATACTGGTAGATATTACAAGTTTTGGAGCAGAAAGCTGGAATCTGGACCCCTCCATCTTTTTTTTAGGCCAACACCAATTACTTTAGTGATGAATGAGGCTAGAAATCAGAGTTTAGCAAGGGTTGGCCCAGATCGGTGTTTCTCAACCATGAACGTGAAGATAGGTGGACTTCAACTCCCAGAATTCCTCAGCCAATATGCTTTAAATCATGCTATGCTGGCTGGGGAATTCTGGGAGTTGAAGTCCACCTATCTTCAAACTCCCAAGATTGAGAAACACTGTAAGTTTGCAATCCTAGTTGACTGGGGGAATTCTGGGAGTTGAAGTCCATCCAGTTTAAAGTCAGCAAGCTTGAGAAACACTATAAGTTAGCAAACCTAGCTGGCTGGGGAGTTCTGGGAGTTGAAGTCCACCTCTCTTCAAGCTCCCAAGGTTGAGAAACAGTGATTTGGCTGCAAATGTTGATGGAGTTAGCAGAGATGCCTAAATTGACTGCTTTGATTAAAGAGAAAAAAACACACACAATTACTTTTGTTTCTACTGGGAAACCATTTCTGGGCTTTGTGCTCGAGGTGGGAAAAAAAATGAAACTTTGATTTCGGGTTTACCGATTAGATAGGTTTGTTATTACAGAAATGGCTAGTTTGTACTATTATGTAAAAGTAAAAAGTTGAGGTTTGATGTTATTATCTTATTCTACTTATTCAGAAATCAGTGCCTTTTCTTTCTTTTCCCTCCTCTTTCGCTACACTTTTCCCTTCCTTTCTCCTTCCCCTATTTTTCTACTCCTTTCTTTTCTATTTTTGTATTTTATATTATAAATTAATAAAAAAAAGAGAGAAACAGTGATCTGTATGATCCATAAGATCCTTTCCAATCCAATCTATGATTTTTACCTTCTGAATAGCTTACAGATTCATCCTCCTTTGCAATTAATTGCTTACAGTCAGAACCAAAAACCTTCAGCTGCAGAACCACAATTTCAGCTCCAGATATTTGGCTCGGTTCTGAGTCTCATCCACGCCGTTTCCAGATTTCGTATTGCAACTGTTTTAAAAAAGAGACCCTCGCCTTCCGGGAGGATTAGACAAAAATTCTCCTTGCATTTAGAATTTTTAGAATTTTTCTAAAAACGGACCAATTGCTCAGTTGGAAAAGAAAGTAGATATTATAAACCAAAATGCAAGATATCAGTCCGCTTATACCAAGCGACTTGGAAAGCTGTTAGAGGTGTCACTGGCAAATATATTTTTTTTAATTAAGAATTTTTCTTGGGGATCTAATAAGAGAAGTAAATTAAATTAAATCCACCCCGTAAATGCATAATTAGATCCTAGCCTTTCCTTCCTATGAGGCAAGATTGCAAGGAGAACTGAGGACCACCAAAAAAAAAAAAAAAAAACACATTTGCATTTAAAAGGAACATATCAACACAATATCCAAAGGCAGAAGATAGCGTGGGGGGAGCCCAAATAATTCACACTAACCAAGGTTGCAAATGACTTTACATTTGCTGAGACCTAAGTCGAATTTCAGAGGAACCCTGCAAATATTTGCACAGTCCGCAGGACAAATACATCAAGTTATTTTACTCAACTGGGGTTGCAGACAAAAAGAATAATAATCATAATTCAACATCCTTTTCCTTGTTGCAATAGCACTTCTGTTTTATCCATTTTTTCCCCCTTGATTTCAAACAGCCAACCAACTTTCTTCTTTTTCTTCCCTTATCCATCCTTTACGGGCTTTCTCCAGAGAGACAACCCAACTGCATGCAACCCCAAATATATCAGTCGGAGTGTAGGAAGAATATTTTTTAAATTAAAAAAAAAATGGCCCTTCCCACCAAGCCACCTTTTTAATTAAGCTTGATAAAGCCTCCCCAAGCTGCATTACAACCATAAAGACTTTA